ATATTTGTAAGAGAACTGTTTTCTTAAAGAGATTAAAGAAAGTGATTAATCATAGATATTTGAGATTATTATAATCTTTTTGCTTCTTATACAGACAATGCCTGTAATTTTTAATTGGAGATTAAATTAAATTATATTGGTCAGTCGTATTGGCAATCTGTGGTAAATCTGGGATGAGAGAATACAATCATTCCGATCTGGCTTGATTTCTCAGTTACATTCTGGATCATTTCCAAGAGTTCAGAATTGGGAGGATGAGGGAAAAAAGGACTATTTTATTACATTTGATTTCAGTTGGTAGATCTCAGCACTTTCCATTAAGGGGCTATCCAATTTCCCCATAAAGCCATTAGAAGAGATCATCCAGTGTCATGTGATAAGGTATAATCAGTATAGGTATTCCTCAACATACAACCATTCCAAATTATGACACACCTGAAAAATCGGACCTGTGACCCAGATTCAAATTTCCAACAGTTGAGGACCCTCCACAAGTTACATGACCGAACTTCAGGTGCTCAGCAACATGGCTTCATTTACAATTGCTTGCAGCATCCCACAGTCATATGACCACGTTTTATGATAGTTTTGCTGAAAATCAGCACTTCTGATTTCCGGTAAAACCGTGCTGATAGCAAACCACTGATGTGCTTAATGTCTGCTGGAAAAAAGGTCATAAAATCAGGTCATAATATGACCAACCCGTTTTTTTTTTATTGAAAACTTTTTGAAAGTTTTACAAAAAACAAAAAAAGACAACAACAAAAAACAAGACAACCCTCACCCAAACCCTCCCAAACCACCCCCCTCCCTCCCCCCCGAGCTTCCCAGAGCTGAATATAGGCTTAATTAAAATTTTAAAAATTCTAAAAAAAATAATCAACTTATAAGATAATTAACAATAAAATATATATAAAATAAAAACATAAGCATTAAGAAAAAAAATACTTAAAAAAAAGAAAGAAAAAGGAAGAAAAAAAGATATAAAAGAAAAGAAAAGAAAGAAAGAATACAATCTATAAAATACAAATTTAAATACAAATTATGAAAAAGCTAGATGGTATTTCTTTATAGCCAATTTGTATTGTATGAAATTTATCCATTTTTCCCATACGGCAAAAAATTTCTCCTGTGATTGATCCTTTAAGAAAGCCGAAATCTTTGCCATTTCCGCCAGATAAGAAACTTTAAAAAACCACTCTTGCAAAGTAGGCAAAGATTCCTTCTTCCAGTATTGCCCTACTAACAGCCTTGCGGCTGTAATCAAATTTAGCATCAATATAGTCTCTTGAGTATCACAATCGGTAACAATACCTAACAAAAATAATTGTGGGGTAAATTTTACCCTCCTTCTAAAAATTCTTTGAATATTCCACCATATCTTAATCCAAAAAGCTTTTATATTTTTACACGACCACCAGATATGATAGTAAGTAGCATTCAAACATCCACATCTCCAACATTTAGGCTGTAAGTCAGGATACATACGAGACATTTTTTGTGGATCAAGGTGCCATCTATAAAACATTTTATAAAAGTTCTCCCTTAGGTTCTGGGCTTGCGTAAATTTAACATTTCTCACCCAGATAATTTCCCAGGTGTCCAATAGAACTGGTTCACCAAAATTTTGTGCCCATTTAATCATACATTCTTTAATTAATTCTGATTCTGAATCCAGTTCCACTAGAACCCCATAAATTCTCTTAATATGAGTTCGCCTTTGATCTCTTACTTGTTTAAAGAGATTCTCATCTTCTCTAAGCAAGCCTGTACTACTATCCATCTTCCATCTATCCACTATCTGTCTATATTGAAACCATGAATAAGTAATATTTTCATATACTAAATCTTCCAAAGATTTTAACTGCCAATTTTGACCATCCCATTTAAGTAATTGTGTATAAGAAACCCTATCCATTTTAACTCCTCTCCTTATCCCCTCTATTGCATGCCCAGGTATAGCCCATAGTGGTATTTTAAAATCACTTTTATAATATTTCCTCCAAACCCGAAGTAGAGGAGTCCTTATAATATGAAATTTAAAAACCCGATCCACTTTTTTATTAAAAATTAGATAGGCATGCCATCCAAAAAGTAAATCCCAACCCTCCAAGTGGAGTATTTCTACATTTGTTAAGTTTACCCAATCACTAATTAGTGTTAAAACCACGGCATCATAATATAATTTCAAATTCGGTACCTTGAGTCCACCTCTTTCACGGAAATCCTGCAAAATTTTGAGCTTTACCCTTGGTTTCTTCCCTGCCCAAATGAATTTATTAATACCTTTCTGCCATTCATTTAAATTAACCTCATTCTTTAAAATGGGTAACATTTGAAACAAAAAAAGAAATTTTGGTAAAACATTCATTTTAATCACTGCAATTCTTCCCATAAGAGATAACTGTAACTTCTCCCAATTCTTTAAGTCTTTCTGTACCCTGACCCACAGCCTTTCATAATTATATTTATACAATTTTGCATTAGAAACAGACAAAGTAACCCCCAAATATTTTGTCTTATCAACAACCTCAAAGTCAGTCAAATTAACCAAAATCTGCTTGTCCAAATTAGTCTTATATTTTAGTCTTATTATTATTAATTTTAAAGCCCGAAACCCGTCCATATTGATAAATCAATTGTAGTAACTTTACTACAGAATAGGTAGGTTGAGACAAAGTAACCACCAAGTCATCTGCAAAAGCTCTTAACTTATATTCTTTTTTGTTTACTTCTATTCCCTTTATTTCCTGCGACTCTCGAATTTTAATCAGCAAAATTTCCAATGTTAAAACAAACAGTAACGGTGACAATGGACATCCCTGTCTTGTACCTTTTTCTATTGCAAAAACCTCTGACAAACCCCCATTGACAATAATTTGTGCCGTTTGTTTTTGATATATAGAACCAAAAGCTTGTAATATTTTTTCTCCAAAGTTCATCTCCTCAATTACTCTTAACATAAACTGCCAGTTCAATTGGTCAAAAGCTTTTTCAGCATCTAAAAATATCAGCCCAGCAGAGATTTGGTTATTTTTATCTAAATATTCTAATAAATTAACAACTTGTCTAACATTATTTTTCATGTACCTACCAGTTATAAAACCCGATTGATCCTTATGTATAAGCTGATACAAAACCCTCATGAGCCTATTCGCTAAATTTTTTGTAAAAATCTTATAATCTACATTTAAGAGAGATATAGGCCTATAATTCTTTGGTAAGGTAAGATCTTGATCCTCTTTTGGAATCAAAGATATAAAAGCACTGCGCCATTACGGAGGAATCTCTGAACCCTGTAATATGTTATTAAAAAGCTCACATAAAGGTTGGGTCATCTCTTCTACTAAAGTTTTATAATAAATGGATGTCAAACCATCCGTACCCGGCGCTTTGCCTAATTTTAATTGTTTAATAACTGTCACAATTTCCTCATTGGTAATTAAATCATTAATTTCTTGTTTCTGATCTTCTGTTAATTTAGGAAAATTGGCCTCACTTAAATAATTATTTATATCTAAAAATTGTACATTCGTACTCTTATATAATTTTTGGTAATAATCTATAAAGATTTCTTAATCAACTCCTTCTGATACACTAATTTGCCATTGTAATTTATTTATCTATAGTTCTCTGTCTCTGTTTCTTTCTTAATTGATAGGCCAACCATCTCCCTGGTTTATTAGCATTACAAAATGTATTTTGTTTCATAAACAATAAGTTAGTTGCAGTTTGATCAGCCATCAGCATGTTAAATTGTGTTTTTAACAATTTTATAGATTCTTTAATCTTTTCATCTGTAGGATTTAGAATCAGAGAATCCCCAATCCTCTTGTCTACTCCATTGTACTATGTCCTTAATAACATTCCTGTTAATATAATTAGAACATGGATAGAAAACAACGTATAGAACTAAGACCAGAAATATTCCTGTTGGGTATTGTACCAGGGAAATACAATAAAGAGAAAATATATTTAATTATTCATATAATTACGGCAGCCAGGATTGTGTTTGCACAAAATTGGAAAGCACTGAAAGCCCCCCTAGAGGGAGAGGTGATTGGGAAAATACTAGAATGTGCAGAAATGAATAGACTAACAATGACAATTAAAGATAAGACAGAGTCAGACTACTATGAAATCTGGGGAACTTTTTATGATTGGCTGAAAAGAAAATACGGTTAAAAGATAGTTAACATCAATTTAGATGGAAGAAGAAGGAGCAGATAAGGAGGGAGACTCAGGCGACACAGTATTGAATAATTGGAGGTTGTATAAATATTTATAGAAGTATATATCGAGAAGGTTAGATAAATAGAAGTATTAATGTAAGAGAAAATTAATCTTATTGTATATAATACAGATAGGGAAATTTGGAGAGAGAAGTTGCTCGGACATTACCCCTGAATTGTATCTGAAGAGGGATGAGAAAGGAGAGGAGAGAGAAAAGAGTAAAGGAGGGGAGAAGGAAGGAGGAAGGTTAGAGGAGAAGTGGGGAGAAAGGGGAGGAGATTGGTGAAGGAAAGAGAAGAGGAGAGGAAGAAGAGGGAAGTAGGGAAGAGAAGAAAGGGAGAAAGAAGGTAGAGAAGAAGGAGTGTGGATGCAGTGAAAGGGGAAAGGGCCGAGCAACACCAAAAGTCATGTGTATGTATTTATTTCATTTTATTAAAAGTATCTTATATATGGATGTAAAAAGAATGTATGTTAACATCTGATAAATATCACGGTATATGTATGGGGGAGAGTTTGGAAAAATAAAAAAATATTATAAAAAAAAATAACATTCCTGTTGACTAAGCACTGCATGTATGAGGTGAAAAGTTCTAATTCATTTAAGCACAAGATTTTAATTTTTATATGATATTATTTCTGCTAGTCTTTTGATTATGAAATTGTATCTCATCTTGATTTTTATGTGCCATTCAGGACCACCGTCACTACATTACCATATTTCAAAGAAAATTTAAAAAACGCTTTTCTTTCCTTTGTTTTCTTTTCAGAGGCTCTCCACCGCCCCTTTGGTTGTGACACTGAACCACAGGCACTGAATGAAGCTATCAGGTGGAGTTCCAAGGAGAACCTTCTAGGAGCCACTGAGAGTGACCCCAATCTTTTTGTTGCACTTTATGATTTTGTAGCAAGTGGTGACAACACACTCAGCATCACTAAAGGTAAACATAATTACCTCCTATTTATACATAAGAGAGCATGTATGAATGTAATAAGAAACAGACCTAATTTTGATGTGCATTAAGAGTAACAGAAGTTTGCAATAGTGGCGAATATTTGTAGGTCGGGTTAGGATGAGGGTGAAGTTCGTTTGTCGGTGTCAGTAATAAAATGTATTTATTGAAAAGGCAACAGCAATAATTATTACAGGAAAAGCTGAAGGGCACAGAAATGATAGGTTATCAAATGTGGGGAAATCATAAATATATCTCACAACTTTTTATCAAGAAGGAAGGAGATTGTACTTTCTTATATTCTTTAAATGTAGGAAAATATATTCCTTTATATTTTTTCTTTAAGCAAATGATAACAACTCAAAATTTATTTACATTTGATTTAAAAATCAAATTTACCAAGATCAAATTTTATTTCATTAAACTATGAGAATATTTTCTTTATCTAAAATAGTATTGTATAATGTGATTTGTAATATTGGCCAAAAATAGGCAACTATTACTAAAATGTCAACATGACTAATCATATGTAAAGCCTTGAATTTGATTGTCCTAGTCAGAAAAGAGAATTATGTGCCAGGATTATAGAACACTCTGAATTTCAAAGTGGACTCCCTGAATGTGATGTATGTATGTGATAGTTGACTTAAGATTCATTGCGTAGGCAACAAACGTGGCTTATACTGTATTAACTTTTTGCTCAAATCTACAAGACACTTACAAAAATAGCATCAGAATACACTATTGTTCCATATTTGCCCTGTTAGTGCATCTACCAGTTGGTAAATTGTTGAGCTTAATACATGTTCTTTCTTAGAAATGAATTATTTTCTTTGTGACAGAATGCTATTTAATTTGCTACTAAAGTAGGCAGTAGCTTTTTCTGTAGTAATTTTTGATTCAAGGAATGAGGCACAACAGCAGTTCTCCATCTAAACTGCATTGAATGACAGACCTGCTACGATTTAGCAGTAAGTTGTATCACAGTTGTGGTACTTCCTGCCCATTCTGTCCAGGCAAATATTCTTAGTTTTGATGCTCTTTTCACTATGATCAGTCACAATTCCTTTGCCTCTCCCCTCCTTTTAATTTTTTTTTTTTACTTTGCAGAATGGTTATCCAGTCTCTAATTCCTGATCTGTAGATACTATATCAAGAGAGTATTTAAACCCCAGGTTATCTTTAAATATTCTTAGGAAGGAGATTTTTTTTTTAAAAAAAGAAAATTGATTCTGTTAGAGCTTTTTGCTAAAGTCTTTGATGCTGTAAAATTATTAAATATTAGAATACAGATTTGGTGATATAAGAGATGGGTGTTTCAAGATGATCATGATCATTGTGGTTTTCATTTTGGGATTAGGCAAGTCTCCTATGACAATCATTTTGTAAATGGATATATTAGAGGTTAAAATAATTCCAAATGTCACCTAGTCCCCTCAAAAATTATTTTACTCCCCTTGTATAAAGATCGGTAAGCATTCACTTTGGTGTACTGCACATGAGAGAATGCTGTCTACAAAGAAGTAGAATTCAATATTGTTGATACCTTGGCACCTAACCATCTGTCATCATTTCATTCAGTTAATTTTCTATAACCTTGGATTTTTACTTGGTTTGATCTGATCATATATAGTATTTAGCTGAATCCTAATAAATTGGAGATTCTCAGTACTTCTGATGTTTGGTGAAGCTGAAAAATACTTCTGATTTACAGAATTCAGTCTCCTTTAGTAATTCAAGTATATGATTTTCATATTCCTGAATATGCCATTATACTGTCCAATTTCTCCAGCATGTCAGAATGGAGAATCCACTAATGGGGTTAACTGTGTCCTGCTGCCCAATTTAGACCAAATCAGTCAAGTTGCCACGCCCCTCCTGGAGCAGGAGACGCCCCAGTTTCGATTTGGTCTCTGCCCGGACGGACATGATAACTTGGCACCAAGCTAAATTGAAGAGTGCAGGTTGTATTCAGTATATTTTAATCCCACCGCTGCGGGGTTACGTCTCATGGAGAAACCATCATTTACAGATCAGCTCCAAGCCATGATATCTCAGGCCATAGCACAGGCTATGGCATCCATGGCGTGGCCACAATCATCCTTCGCTCCAGTGACCTCCCGGGCTTCCTCCAGTCCCTCGCGTCCCAGTGAGGGTCGCTATCCGGACTCAGCATCACCATCCCGTTCCTGCGAGAGTGAGGTCTCAGATTATGGGGAGTATAGTCATGTGGAGGGTTAGTGGTCAGATGATGAGGAGACTCCTTCGGAGGTCCCTCCCCTCATGGGCTTATTTAACCCCACTCTCTTCCCACCCTTGCTCCGCAAGACTTGTGCCACCGGTAAGATCGGCCCAGAGCAAGCCCCGGTTCCCCAACAGGCTCCTAGTCAGGACACTAGCCCGTTCTTTTCCGTACCGGTGGTCAAACATCAACAAATTCCTTCTCTCCCCCCCCCCCATGTTTTTGATGTCAATGCTGCGAATACTGTATATCCTTGCTTTGACAATATGCAAAGACAATGGGATATTTCACAATTGCTCTTCAGTAATAAAAAAAATAAAAAAATGTTTAGGTATTTTTTGCTGTCTTTGTGTCATTTGGAGGAAATTACAGTAGGTTTAACTTTTTTTATAAGTTCAGTTTGTATCAGTTTCTGACAACAATTATGAACCATATTAAATATGAAACGGTATTAGAGGTTTCATACTTCTCTAATGCATCCATTCAAAATTCATTGTCTGACGTACTTTCCTGATTTCTAGATTCCTTATTTATCAAAGAGGAAAAAGAATGAGAAACTAGGAATAAACTTTATAGTCCATCCCATTAGTATGGCAAATTCTAACCTATGTTAAAAGTGATTGTATGGCCCATCTAATCTTGCACAGGCTGAAGACTTATGGACAGGATAGATTACTCCCATGATTCTGAGTCAGCACTGAGAAAGATATATCTAGAGCAGTGGTTCTCAACCTTTTTAATGCCGCGACCCCCAACTGGTCGTAAGTCGAGGATTACTCAACCGATCATAAGTCAAGGACTACTCAACTGGTGCAGCATCGTTTGCAGAATGGGACTTTTGGCGGGCTCAGCAGGGCAGAGACAGCCTGGACAATTCCTATTGGCTTTCGAAAGCCAATAGAATTAGACTCTATTCAAGAGAGTCTATACTATTGGCTTTCAAAAGCCAATAGAATAAAAGGGAGTAGCACATCCAAGGTAAAGGGGGAAAAAACGGCGGACTGCGTTGTTTGGCGACCCCCGTGAAATGGTCGTTTGACCCCAAATGGGGTCCCGACCCACAGGTTGAGAACCACTGATCTAGAGGTTAGTAGGTTAGTGAAGCCTGACTTCATTTGGTCTATGGAGCACAATGTACTTTGTGTCAATGCTGCGAATACTGTATATTCTTGCTTTGACAATATGCAAAACTGTCTGGTATTTATTGGGTTAATACTTAGCTTAGAGTGGGGGGGGGGACAGCCCGGGAAAGAAAGAGGAAGTAAACTTTTGACCTTCACACTAATTGGATAATGTGACCTGTGACTGCATGAGAAGGGAGGGGTTTAGCAAGAAAAGCTTGATGCCAGCGAAAGGAAGTTCGGATTCTGGCATCAACCCGTCCATCATGGTGACCGGCAAAACTGTAGCTCTGCAATAAAGACTTTAGAAAACATGCCTGAAAGTTCTTTGAAGTGCTTCATTAGTCGGAACCTGTGACATCATGCCAGAATCCAACACTCTTTTCAAACGATCTGCGTCCCGAACTCCATCAGCTGCCTCTATGCCTGAGAGGAGCTGGCAAAGTTTTGGGGAAGATCTCATTATGGAGAAAGAAAGATTGCCTGAGACCAGCCCCGTAGCTGCAACAGTTTCCCCGGGGGGGAAAGTGACGGCCAGCAAGCCGGGGGAGAGAGGAATTTGGCAGATTTCCCAGCTGAGAGCGAAGACTTCAAGAGCAGAATGGACAGATAACACAGTTATGGGTGAGTCGTTGGAAAGATTTCAAAACTTAGAAATGAAAAACAGAAATCAGTTCCTACAAAGTGAAACCTACAGGCCCTCTATTGCAAATGTTCCTGCCATGGGCTCCAGCCCTGAGAGAGAGAATCCCAGTCTGAATCTTCTGCAGCAAAGGGGAAATTGGGTTTCCCAGCAAGTGGCTGATCCATGTCCTCTGAACTTACCACAGCTAATAGAGGCCTTGCAATGTCTTGGGGTGGTACAGAAGCCAGGAAATCAGCAGCTGGGGGGAGAACAGCCACAGCAAGGAGGTTGGCCACAGCCCCCAAACGTGCAACCCCTGGGCATAAATCTGCAGCCAGGTTGGGGCCTACAGCAACTGGGGTGGCCACAAGAGCAGCAGGAAGCCTGTCAGACCCTGCCTTTGCCGGCCAGAGACCCCAACCCTGAAGAGAGGGTGAGTTCCAGTCTGAGGCATCTGCAGCAATGGGTAGATGGGTTTCCCCAGCAGATGAATAATCATGAGCAGCAGAGGGCATCACCACCCCCTGCAACCCAAGAACAGAGAAGACCACCACAACCCCCACTTGCACAGCCACCATTGGGAGGCCTACAGCAACAGGGGGCACCATCCAACCCCACTGGCCAGCAGCAGAGGGCCCAGCAGCCGTGGAACCAGCCCCAGTGGGGGCCACAGCAGCCTGTGTTCGCACCACCCTTCAATGCAACCTTTGATGGGGACCCAGAGAAGCTGATTTTTTTTCTCAACCAAGTGCGTTTTCACTTGAAATGCTGGGCCTATCTGTACCCGGAACCAGGGGCCATGGTCGATGTTATTGCGTCCAACCTAGAGGGAGAAGCATCTGAATGGCTGAACAATCTATATAGCGAGCAATCCCCCGAATTGGAAGATCCCCACCTCTTTCTTTTAAGTCTGAGAGAACGATTTGAGGACCCATCCATTGGCCTCAAAGCAGCAGGACAAATTCACAAAATAAAACAAGCTGGGAGGCCTGCCCTGGAG